ACCTCCACAAACTGTAAGCTAAATAAACCTTTCCTTCCTTCATTTTTGGCGTTGGGTATTTTGTCTCAGCAACGAGAGAAAAGTAACCAAGACAGGGTTTTAAAACCATCAGCAAGTTTTAGAGAAAATTGGGGCCTTCAGCAATGGCACACTTCTACTTGCAGCTGACACCAAGGAGGACAAGGACATCCCCATACAGTGTGCTCCTGCGAACCCTGTCACAGGCAAAACTGTGGTGGGGCCCAGGTGGTGGTCACCACGCTGTGCCTGGGCGGTGGTGAGGGTGTTCCGGGTGGGGTTACAAGGCGAGGCCGTGCCTTCCTGCACACACCTCAAGCTTCCAGCCCTCTCTGTCTTACTCACGTGGTTAAACCACAGCTTGTTAAGTTTGGATTCAACTCTCTTCTTACTCAGCTACTGCACCTACAGACTGAATGTGTTACAGAAAGACAGCAAGCGGTTGCAGTGACCATCTCTGTGTATTCCTGCGCCTTGCCTGTGCTGCTGGCGGTGGGGGACCATTTCCTCTCTTCTCCCTGGGTGCTAATTCACTCCTTGTCCTCTCTTTTCAAAATTATGGTGCCTGTTTTCTGTCTTCACTGGCTCCTGCTTTGCTGAGGAGGTCAGACCTTTCAGAAAAGCATCGTGAGCCCTCAGCCCTGTGCCCTCCCATCCCCTGGCCCCTGAATCTGTGGACTTGGCCTTCTCCCTGCAGCCTGCTTACAACACAGCCCTGTCTCCGGAGGAGGTGGCACTCTGTCCAAGCTTCCTTGGGTTCCCGGGGACTCAGCAAACTCTCTGCCCTTCTCCTTCCTGCAAAGTCGCCAGCATCCCCCCTTGGCTGGATCACTGTCTCCACTGTGTGAAACACTTCTGATTTCTCCTCTCTTCAAATATTTACTGTACTCCAGTGTTGTCTCTACCTGTTACCTGTTCCTTTGCTTCTCCCGGCAGACTCCTTGGGGAGTCCCTTTATTCCTTTCCCAACCAGCTTAGTTCCCACAGCACTACGCACAAACTGGGTCAAGATCACAACAACCTCTGCACTGCTAGCTCCAGAAACTGATTTTCAGCTTTGTGTGGCCTGAACCACGACAGCACTGACTTTAGATTATTCTCTCCTCCTGGACACAGTCCCCTTGTTGATCCAAAGCTCATCTTTGCTGATCCCATCCACTTATGCCATCTGTACCAGAATAGTCTCCAAAGTGTCTTGCATTTCTAAAGTTTGTAACAGACTCCCTGGCCCCATCCTTACCCTGTCTCTCCTGTGGTGTTTCCTGATGTTCCATTGTCTGGGCCACACACTCAGAAGCATCCTTCTCACCTGTCTTTTCTCTTGTCCAGCCTCCCAGTAAACCTTGCTGACTTATCTCCAAATACACCCCATCCTTCTCTGGATGGCATTCCCACTCCACCTCCAGCCATTCTTAACACTGCTAGAGTGATCCCCTTTTAACGTAAGTCAGACAATGTGACTGAAAACCTTCAGTGTCTTCCTACTGCCTTGGAGGAGAAGGTGACATCATGATGAGGGCTTCACGGCCCTAACACCCGGCACCATCTTCTCTCTGCTTTCACTCTCAGCTCACCCCAGCATGACCCCTTCCAGTCCTCTGAGTGTGCTAGGAGGAAGCCTGCCTCAAGGACACTGCCTTTGCTGCTCCTTTGTCCTGAAAATCTCATCCCCTAAAGGAACGCGTGGCTCCCTCCCTCCCTTCTTTCCAGCTGTGTTTACATGCAGCCCTCTCAGTGAAGCCTTCCCTGTTCATTCAGATTAAAATTGTAACTGCCTCTCCTTCCCAGCTTGATTTCCTCTTCAGCACCATTGCCATCTGCCATCTGATGTATCTTTTTGTTTGTTTGCTGTCTGTCACGACCATTATGTAAATATATGAGGCCAGGGATTTTATGTTTCATTCATTGCTATATCCATAGTGCCTGGAGCAGTGCCCAGTGCGTAGCCTGCATTTAGTAGGCGTTTGCTGAAGAAATAAATGGAGTAGAGTGTCAGGAGGCCCTAGAAGACCTAGGTCGTATTTGCTGGATCTGACTCCTTGTTTATCCACAGTGGAACAAATTACTTAACATCTTCCTGTGCCTGTTTCTTCCTATATTAAAATATGGGTAATAATATCCATTTTGTCAATGTTGTGGCTTAGGATTAAATGAAATGACAACATGAAACTTTAACTAAACATAAACTTTAACTAAACACAACAGCACTACTTAGAATCCTAAGAAACAGGAGAGCGCTGGGCAGACCAGGATGCCCATTTCCCTAATTCTGCTCAGCAGGTACATGAGTGTTTTCTGCCAAGGGCCAATTTACGGCTTTCTCAGGGGATTTGTAGCTTGACTAATGCTTATTGGTGTTTTCAGTTTTCTTTTCTTTTAAGAATAGTAAACGACCGGTTGATTATGAAGATCATTACGTATTATATGGAGCTTTACAAAGAACTTTTTGATTATTCTAATTAGCTTGTCATTTCCAAGAAGAATCAAGAAATATTCCGCAGACTAATAATTCTGAAACAAAAAATTTGCATCTAAAATAGAAATTATGAAGTGACCTAGTTACATAGGCTTGCCTTCCTTCCCCCACCTTATTTGCTACCTTTACATGATGTAAAGTGTGTGCTGGAAGAATAAAACTTGTGGTGAGGCAGCTCACCACACCGGCCCGGGAGGGTGAAGAGCGCGCAAGCACCAGTCTGAGAAGGAGCTGCGCCGTGAGAGGGAGCACATTTGAGGCACAGACACAGCTTAGTGGCCCCACACCTGTCCTGCCTAATCCATGCAAAGAAGGTCTGTGTCTCCACCCTGATGACAGCAATCTGAACACTTCAAGAATCTGAAAATTAAGAGACATTCTGCGGCCTCTGGTTTGTGGAGCGGAGCAGAGACCTACTTCTTTATAGGTAAGTTTTTATTTTGTCTGGGAATGTAGAAATATTGTATTTCTGTTGTCATTATAAATTGTATACTTTAAAGATGAAAGAATTTTGCAGAGGTTTTTATTATTGAGTCCTACATAGACTGAACACTTATTCCTTTGGTCATGCCAAGGAAAGAGAGAAAAAAACACTCACTTTATCTGAGTCTATTGTGTGCCATGCAGTGTTCCAGAGGCTTTATGCATGTCTTTTTATGTAATTCCAATGACAGTACTATTTGAAAAGATTGGAGAGAGAAAGTCACACTCTCAATGTGTGGCAGTGGGAGAAACTGAGTCCATACTGTTCAAATTCCAGAGTTTGTCTGTGCTCTTCCTAACTCTTCAAATCCAGAGTCTGTCTGTGTTCTTTCTGACTCACACAGACATTGACTGTGATTTTTAACACACTTATCACCAGCCCTTGCTAAGAACTATGGAAACATCTACAAAGAATCTAATAGGCAATATAACCATCTTTCGAGAAGTAACCATCTCTCCAAGCTGTAAGTAGAGGAAAAAACTGCAGCTTCTACAAATGCAAACCAAACACCAGTGTCCTCATCCTGGAGCTGCATCTGGGCAGCAGAACTGGCCACTGGGTGGCCCATGGACACAGAGGAGCAGGGTAGCCTCGGGTAGGGGGGGAGCAGAGCCAGAGAGGGCTCATAAACAGGCTAAGGAGGCACAAGTGTGAAATGGGTAAGCCTGGAGCCAGCTGCATGGGATGGGCAAATCCATCTGAGGACACAAATCTGTGACCCACTTATGGGTCAGCCCAAAAGAATGCATCACGCTGTATTTCATCAGAAGATGTTCTCTTCACACTGTCTTCCAAGTGAAAGTGATAAATGGGCGGAATCAGTTTCACTCTTGGGGGCGAATGTATTTATGTTTCTCCCTTTATAAGACCACAGCAGAAGCATTTGCTTTAATCTTGCATGATGTCTTTTGAGCCTTCACTTACCTGGAGATCTCTTACCTAATAATATCTTCCTCTAAGATAAACAGAGAAAGAGGAAATGAGCAGAAAAGAGACTGCAGCCAAAATAGAGACCGCAAGCCCATGACCTTGGTCCTGCGTGCATCTCCCAGGGGACACCCTCAGGTGCACCTTCAGATGCACTGACTCCTTTTTGGGCACAGTTCTGATAAATAGGACTGTCTGATTTTCCAGCACAGAGCTTTTAGAAGCAGAAGGTTAGAAGTGGAGAAGCCAGCTGCTGTGGTCAGGCAGAGCAGAAGTAATAGGTACGGTAGACCCTGGGCTGCTGTCAGAGGTTTTCCCAAATACAGTGAGGATGACTCCACGTGGCACCTGTATACAAAGTAAGTAGTCTGAGGTTTTGCAGGCTGCAGCATGGAAGTTGGTTCTTTGCTGCTCGGGAAGAGTAAACATCCAAATAGTGGCCAAGAAAGACTGCCAGGGTGGTTGGACCCTGGGATTTTCCTAGGTGACCTGGAACCACATCATGGGTTAGAGCACCACTTTCACTCAGCAAGGAACCTCGGTTGAAAGTCAATTCGAATAGGCTTCCCTACTCACCAAAATTTGCCATTACTGCTACATAAGCCACACCAAGCCTGCAGGCCATTATCTAGAGCTCAGAGAGAGGATGGTGAGGTAGGTTTCAAAAGCCTTTTTTTATTAATGTATATTAGTAATGCATCCTTGTTACATTCATTTTGGGAGATGGATACATGTATACTGCATATCTTGATCATAGTCAATCCCCATACCCTCTTTTTACCCTCCCCACTCCTGATCCTCAACTCCAACAAGGTGATCTTTTTATTTCTCTCTTTTTATTTGGATCTCTCCTTTGTTTTACTCTTTTATTTGTACTTTGGGTTTCTCATATAAGAGAAATCATATGCTATTTAACTTTTCCATATGTGACTTATTTCACTTAACATTATGGTCTCACGTTCCATCCCTTTTCCTGCAAAGAGGATTTTGTATCAGAGAGGACTGAGTGACTATGCAGTACAGATATGCTTTTTACTTTGTACAAATGCTTTTATCTGAGAGTAGAGGGAGAAGTTGCAGATACGAAGAAAGGCGAGGTGGCAGGTAAAAGAAGAGTTTTTACAGCACAGGAGAAAAGGGGGAGTTAGGGGGCCTGAGCAGAGCTGTGCTGATAGGGGTGGGTGGTGGCCAGGACCATGGTGAGGCCAGCTGGACATGACCCTGGGACGGAGAAATCTCATTGCAGCTACAGACATGCTGCTAGGTAGGGGTCTGCCGTGTCCCTCGGGGAGGCTTCTATGGCAACCTCTGCCTTTTCCTGGCCCCCTTCTCAGTGGGGCTGAAGGTATAAAGAGTCATCCTTCCTGTTTATTCTCCGCCCTGCTCTACCCTACTCTGAACTGCTCTGGGCTTGGAGATCCTGCTTCATGATGAATTGTACTGAGCAGGCCTTCTGGTCCCTTCCCCTGCACCCCCCAGGTGCTGCCTGCCAGGCTGCAGCCCAGGGACCGGGGGATGAGCCCCGAAGGGGTTCACCCCCACTCCAGGCCTGCTGCTCAGCAGTCGCCTTTTGACATCACCGAGAGGTTCTTTGAGGCTGGGCAGCCCAGACAGTTTTCCTGTAGGTGCTGATACCACAACCAGAGCAACACAGCCATTGGTGCAAGGTGGGGACCACCGCAGTATAGTGTAAACTTTGCTCCCTTCCTACCCCAGACCATGTCAGCAGCTGCCTCTGTGACAACAGGTGAAACTGGCCAGTCTCTCTGTCATCGCCATCGCTCCACACCATCTTTTTCATTTCTGTAGCAGCTTTAAAGTCAGCGTGCCCTTTCCTATCAGACAGAACAGAGGTGACGAGTCAGTGTATCTGAGTCACTGAGTGAGGCCATGTTCCCTTGGAGGTCCCAGGCCCTTTATTTGGCTGCCTCCCACCTTAGGGACTGAGATGATGACGTCCTCAGAGGAGGGGCTTTAGACACAACTTATACGTGTGCTCATCCAGTGTCAGAATCATTCACTCAGAGGCCCCAGCACAGAGAGAGTGTATGGCTTTCAGGTTTCTTTCTGGTAGATGAACAGACATTTTGGCAAATCTAAGAATCACCGCCTGGTGCGTATAATTTAAGGAATATGCAAGCGGTCACTTTGGGTCATTTTGTTAGTTCAAGTCTTTCCTGGATCTAAGACACACTGACCTTACTTCATAGTCACCCACACCCAGGGCTGAACCCTGTCTGCAAGTGTCCTCCATACGGCTCACTTCAGGTGGAGGCCAGCGAAGCAGAGGATCTAAAAAGATCAGCTTGCAGCATGCCCTGCTGTCTTGATTTGGCAGAAGAGGTGAAGAGGCCTCTGTCAGTCTCTTTCTGAGCTAACCTGTCATTCTGGCCTAATCCATCATGGAATCGTGAAAAGTCAGCCTGAGGACAGCCTGTCCCACCGGAACTTGGATGATCTCATCAGCTCTGGGTCTCCAGTGGCTCCACTTCCCTGAATCTAGGCGAGTCTTGAGGCCAGCCATGCAGCATCCTTTCGACCACTTCCTGACTCTGACTTGAGGGGAGGCACGTGTCCCTCTTCTGGGAACTGATGGGGAAGAGGCTACAGTGCAAGAGCACTGGGGTGCGAGGGGGACCTGGGGCACCACACACTGCTACTCTCCCTAGTTGTGGGCACCAGCAACGTGGCCATAGTCACAATTAGTCCCTGCTCATTGTGCAGCCAACTGGCGTCCTTATTAAACACGAAAAGCGTGAAGACATAACTATAAGCTCCATTTTTTTCTTATCTTCATACCTCCCTCAAAAGCACCATTATGACTTACTTAGTAAATATGTTCCCAGGGTGTGTTCAGGGCATGTTATCATTTGTTATCATTTTTATCTTTATTTATACATCTTGGTAAGAACATAGCAGTGTTTAGGATGTGATGGTTAGAGAAGTTTAAATTCAAGACCTCAAAGGACATTTTCCTGTGGAGAAGGACATTCTTTGATTAGAATGCATTAAGGACACAATGATTTGTTTAACCTTGAGTTGACGATCCTCCTGTCTCAGCCTCTTGAGTGGTGGGATTATAGGCGTGTCTTGGATTACATGTGGAAAAGGATAATCCTTTGATAATCCTTGCCAAATCGTTTGGTATCTGCCCATTAGTACTAGTTACGCCCTAGGTTCTCACTCAATAAAAGGAGACTAAAATTGGTATCCGAGGCGGCAGTCTGAGAGGCTGTAAGCCCCCGGATCCCAGACTTTTGCCTCTCTTGTTTTTCTTGTCTCTCTTTCTTTGCCTTATCATCTGTGGGCACCTCGTTCACGGAACCTGACACACTGAATAGTACATTTTCCCAAAGAGTTGTGGTTTGAAGTTCAGTCTGAAGCTCCCTGTTCTCCTGTTTCAGTCATAAGGAGAGCAAAGCCTGGTTGAATGCAATCCATGTTCAGGACAGTAGCTGTAACACACTGGACCCAGCATAGATGCTAGCTGTGGTCTCTATTTCCTCAGTGTCCTTCTTGCTTCCTGGAGGGCAGCCTTCATCAAACACATCCTGAGTTTATTTCAGAAGCAGGGTGAACCGGAGCAATTAGACATTTGGTTTCATGTCTGTCCTTAGTCCTCAACTCAGCAGGCTCTTCTGTAGGCACTCTTCTTCCTTGCCTCTGTGAATAATCCCACATGGCTGATTCTTGTCTGTTTCTGTTCCTGATTTCTGCTTCCCAGGTGTCCTGCTTCCCATTAACCAGCCCACATCCTGGAGCTCGGTTAGAACCCTCTGTGCATCACCGTCTTTTCCATAATAATCATAATAAATACCAGGCTGCTACTGCACACCAATGCTGTGTGCCTCTGACCCACAAGTCCATTATTTACAAATCTCCAATCCATATTCTGGCCATGTGGAGATAGACATCCAGTGATTAATCTGAAAAAATTAATTCATGGCTGATATGAATCTGAAACTATGTCAAGAATGCCTTCAAACCAGGCATGGTGGGTGCACGCCTATAATCCCAGCACTTGGGAGGTAGAGGAAGGAGGATTGCCATGAGTTCGAGGCCAGCCTGAACTACACAGTGAGACCCTGTGTCAAAAAACAAAAAACGAAACAAAAACTGCCCTCAAATCATCAGGTCCACAGACTTGGACTTCCTCCCATTTTGCATATGTTAAGCAAAACTCATCTTCTTCTCTTTAGACCGGAAAGTTGAGGCTGTATTGGGTTCCTTGTGCCGTCAGATGTTTGTACCTTGACTTTCTGTAAGGAAAACTTTTCTCCCGTGTAGAAATAAGTCAAAACTTAGAGATAAGTGTCCAGTCCTGATTTCCCTGTTTCAGTCCAGATGGGGAATATGGCATTGGTTTTGACTCTCCCTTGTCTTGCTTCTGACCATTTTTTCAAAATGTTGCCCAAACATCACTTCCTCTTCGAGTTTATCCTGGAAAAGCATGAACTTCGAGGTCAAACAACACAGTTTTGAGCCCTGGCTGTCGAAAGTATTAAGCAAGCAGACTTGAGAAGTGGCTTTGTCTCCCGGTGTCTGTTTTCTTGTCCATGATCTAATGATGGCTGTGACAGTGCCAATGCCATCAAGGCCTGGGGGACAATTAATGAAAAGCAAGTGGGCTCCAGCTGAGGCCTTGGCACAGGAGTGCCACAAGAGGTGCCTGCTTACTGTGTCCTCCTTGCCTGTCCCAGGGACCTGCTCCCTGACCCCACAGTGTGGAATCCATGCCTTTACACTGTCACCCAAGCTCCAGCCTTTTGTCCCATCTTCCTCTGCTCTCCTGGGCTCTCATTTGGTCCGCTTCGGTGCCTGCTGCCCCCTGCGCCTTGCCCATACTCTGTCCTTGGCACTTCCCCACGCCTTCCTCCCTGCGCTGTCTGATTCCTCCCAGCTCAGCTCCAACCCTTCCCTTCTCACAGGGCTGCTGCAGGGCCTCAGGGAAACCTCTCACCTGTGAGCACTTGACATTCTCTAGGCCAGTGGTGGCAAACGTATGGTAGATGTGCGGCAGCAGCCCCAGCAGTCAAGCATTGGATCCAGTTGTTTTTTTTATAAACTAAAACCTCAGTATTCAAGTTTAATTGCAGTGTTGGTACTCTGCAGTAAGTAAGTAGGTTTTGGGTTGCAGTTTGGGCGTTCAGTCCCTAAAAGGTTCATCACCACTGCTCTAGGTTTTTTCAAGTTGATCGCAGATCCCCTCTACTCATCGCATGTCCTTGGTGAAGTCCTGCATCCGTGCCCCGACTCTCCTGCTGCGTTTATTCCTTAAAGACATTGGTGAGACATACTTGGCAGTGTCTCAGAGGTGTGTAATGCATACACTATTAGGCACACAGAAGGCAGAGGAGCTGATGCTGTCACACAGTGGAGGATGGTCTTCAGTTCAAGGCAGAGTGACAGATTTCAAACTTCCCAGAGCTATACCCTAACCCTAACCCTAACCCTAACCCTAACCCTAACCCTAACCCTAACCCTAACCCTAACTTGAAGTCTTCGTGAATTCCAAAATGTGAATGTCAGCACAGCTTGTAATTCTTTCTATAAGATGGATTTTTGCTCCTAATGGGGGAGTTTGCTAACATAGTTTGTTGAAGCCCTGATTGTCATATGGAGGAAAAGGCATAGGTCCAAGCCCTGCAGCACACTCAGACCACCACAGGGCTTGGCACTCTTTCTTTCCAGGTTGCTGGTGTCCAGCAGTGGCACTGTTTAGACAGCTAGTCCTGTTGCAGCTGCCAACTTTCTTGAGAGGGTATGCACTTGTTTTATTAAACAAATGAAGTAAGCTGTTATTTTGCTTTATATTTAGTGCTCTTTATTATTTCCAGAGTTCTGAGTGTCTGGTGAGGAGTAGAAAACTTGGTCAGCTGCCTTGGTTCACGGTGGTGACACACTGGCTCTCTCATGGCTGTGGCTGACTGGTCAGCAGAGCAGCTCTTGCGGAAGTTGGCTGGGGGCGAAGTTGTCCCAAACCTGGACACAGCTGGGTGACCCTCGTACATGGGCAGCTGAGGCAGTGGCTGTCATCTCAGGCAAGAACACACAGGGTATCACAGAGGCTGAGGAGCCCCAGCCTGGCCTCATCCCCAGAGGCACAAATCAGAGGCCCAACGCTTAGGCTGGGAGACAGCGGTTCACACTCCCCTCCAGGACAGAGGGAGAAAGCCACTCTTGGGCTTCTCCCCACCTACCGGCAGCTCTGGGTAGGAGCCTTGTTTCCAAGGAGGGAAGTGAGACGGGACCTCACAATCCTGTCCCCTCAGTTCTCTGTATCTTCCTGGAAGTGCTTTGAACAATAAGCCACATGTTTTGCTTAACATTCTCTTGGGTCCTTAGCAAGCTCGGATCTGCTCTTATTTCCCCAGGCAGGCCATTTCTAGGTCTAGCAATCTACTAGCATCTCATTCATGCTGAAGGAGGCTGTGAAAGGGGAAGGTGAGGAGAAGAACTTGATCAAAAAGGAGCTGAAGAATATAGAAGTGCATACCCCTAAATACCCTGGAGAGCTGTTGCTTCCTCTGTAGGTGTCTGGGTCTTGAGTGGGCAGTTCTAGTTCTTCTGCTCCCTGCAAAGAGCAGAGACTTGTGCTGGAAGAAGGAGAAGGACTGAAGCAGGAAGAAGGTGTTTCCAGCTCTCTTCTCCACCCAGGGACAGCTGGGGCTCCTGTTACGTGAAAGAGGACTAGGGCACCCAGAGCCCAAGGAAACTGCAGGCCCAGCAGAACTCAGAAAGGAGAGGCTTTTGTTTGGAAGGAGAGACAGGGACATCTACTGCAGGCCCCCGTGGCCACCAAGTCTGCAGAATATTACATCAGTGAAAGGATTTGGGAGAACAGTGATGGGCCCAGGCAGAGTCCAGTGGGAAGCAACAGAAATGCTGGGGAGTGAGCGGGGTTTGGACAGGTGAAGGTCCCTCTGCAGCTGGCTAGTTCCCACAGCAGCTGGCACAGGCTGTCTGTGCTGCTGCAGCTGATTGTGGGCTGGGCCAGCAGGGCCAAGCAGGGCTGGGACACGAGCCCTGGGCTATGGAGACACATAAAGAGCTGGGTGGAGAAAGCACCAGGCAGGTGCCCCAAGGGACTCGGTGTAGAGCAGCCCAGGTATGAACACTGTCACTATTCCATGGTCCCTCCCCAACTGCTTATACCTAAGGGTGAGTTTCTGTGAATCCTCACCCATTACCTTCTTCCATCTGTCTAATGACAGGGTGTGCTCAGCCTTCACCTGCTGTCTCACAGCAGCCAGGTGCCTAGAGAGATAGGGACCTACACCTGTGATCCTGCCACACAGCACTACAGGGGACGTTCGTGGGGTATGGATGTCCTCTAGCTCCATCTCATTGCCTCGCCTGTACTTTCTGCCCTTTTCCTCATAAGGCACTGAGGACTACTTTCCTGGGGGAGCTGCATCCTGAGAGGAGTCCATGTCCCTCTTGTGGTTGCACAGTTTGGGGTGGGGTGGGGGCCAGGCCCAGAACTGCTCCTGCCCCTCAGGCACCCCAAACATTTCCATAGCCCCCCACTCAGCTCACAGCGACACTCAGTCCCCAGAGTATTTGTTTCAGTACCAGCTGTGTGTGTTTGTGTGTGTGTGTTCGTACTGGGGATTGAACCCAGGGCCTTTGCACTGAGCTACATCTCCAGCCCCTTCTCCCTTTTCATTTTTACTTTTGAGACAGGGTCTCACTAAGTTAGTAACTTGCCCAGTGTGATATGTTGGCAATTGGCGGGCAACTTGTAAGACCCAGCTGAACTGAATCAGCATGGTGCTGGGTGTGGGAGGCCCACCCGAGGATTGTTGCCAACAACATAAAAAGGAGAACTGGAGCGGAAGAAGTGGGGGCTGTTGGTTCTGAACAAGCTTGTCAGGCTGGCTTTCCTCATATGAACTCAGCTGTTCTCATCAGTGGAGGAGCTTGGGCCTTATCCTCACTGAGAATGGCTGCAGTTCACTTTGGGGGAGTTCTGATTCTTACTTTGAGCATCAGCTCTGGTGGGGAAAATGGTGCACTATTCAATCTCTTGAGAAGCTTGTTGCGCTGGTTTTCTTGATATGGACTCGGCTGTTCTCACCGTCAGAAGAGCTTGGGACCTCGTTGTCACTGAGGGTGGCTGTGGTACTTTTCGGGGTTCTTACTTTGAGTGCCACTTTGTGGCTCCAGTACAGATTCCTCAGCCTATTGGCACAAATCCTTTATCCCTCTGGCACAGATTTTCTAGGCTCCACCACTAACTTTTGGGCCTTCCCAGTGTCGATCCTTGATATAAACTTGCATGAGACATTGTTGTGGGCTCTAGGCCTCCAGCTGGACTTGTGGGGGCCATCGTTATGGGCTCTAGGTCTTCAGCAGGACTCATGCAGGACGTTGCCATGGGATCCAGGCCCTCAGCTGGATTCTTTTGACCTTAACTGTGTGGACAGATTTCTTGTACTTTTCTGTACTTGACTCTTTGGGTGGCTACTATAAAATAATCCTATATATTATGTGTACTGTATTAAACTCTTTCCCTTGCAGACCGTGACCACAGCACCCAGGTTGAGTCCAGGCAGAGTCCAGTGGAAGCAACAGAAATGCTGGGAAGCGACCTGTGATCTCAAACTTGTGATCTTCCTGCCTTAGTTTCCCAGAGTGCTAGGATTGTAGGTATGCACCATCAGCCCTGGTTCTCTTCTTTGAGAAGCTACAATGTGGGTTCTCCCTCTGCACCCACTGTACCACTGGTTTGTTTTTGATTCCAAGAGTCATATGATTATTTTTCATTTTTTTAATAACATTTGGGATATATACGGTTAACTATGTGCATTTGGGCATACAGGCGTTGCTTTTAAATAGGAAGTGGTAATTCAGCAACTTTCTCTTAGCAGTTCTAGTGTCTCACTGCTCTGAAACATTGCCAATTGCATCTTGTTGAGAGTGGTCCTCACAGTGGTGATGTGGGGGATCCGAAAACCACCTAGGGGCGTGTAGTTCGGCAATCCACTGGGAATCAGCGCATTTCCTGAGGTGAGCATGCCCAAGTCCTCCCCACAGCCCACTAGCTTTTCTTTCGAGCTTTCTGAAATTCTTGGATCCTTCAGCCTACAACAGGGATGTTGAATGGGAATGGCTCCTCTGGGATTCAACAGAGTGCCCCTGCTCACATGGCATACCCAGAGCCTTCCATTTTCCTAAGCCCACCTACCTTGTGGCTTTAGGAGAGGACCTTGTTTTCCAGAAACCCATTGCCCTTCTAAGGGCACAGTGAATGCTTTTATTTTCATTGCCTCATGCTAGAGCAAGGGCAATGGATTAGGCATCACACAGGGAGCAGCTAGCTGTGTGATCTCAGGCTGTACTGCAGAAAAATGCAATTTGTTTTCTTTTACAGTGCTGGGGGTGGAACCCAGGGCTTCGTTCATGCTAGGCAAGTGCTTTACCACTTAGCTACACCCCCAGCCCTGGAAATGCAATTTTTTTATTTGACCAAGTACACAAGGTGAAGAGTAAGCCAATCAGTGTTTTGGGAGCAGTGGGTGACAGTGGAGTGGTGGGGAGCCTTAGCACCCTGAGGCTGGGTGGGCAGGCGCTCTTCTGGGAGTTATTTCAGAGAGTCGATGCATTGGAGAACTTTGTAAGAGTCAGTGTAACCCAGGCAAGGCCCTGGTAAGTGCTGCAGATGCCATGAATACTATGAAGTCAAGGCTGATGGCCATAGAAGAGTGATGGCCTTATGCTAGTGAGTCCGAGTCAGTCATTGCCAGTGCCCAAACAGTAGCAGGAAACACACCGCTGAGACCAGCATGGTGACCACGAGGCATAGTGAAGTTAGAGCTATGCTTAAGGTGTCTGCAGGTAAAGAAGAACGTGTAAAAGTGAGCCTGCAAACTAGCAAAAGGAACAAAACCCCACAAAACAACCAAACCAAGCCAAAAAATATATATAAACCAGTAAACAAATCACTGGAAAAAACCTTCTGGCTTCTTCTGAACTACCCTCATTGAAAAGCAGAAGGAAGCTGGCCTAGGGTTTCAGCTCCACTGATGTTTATAAAGAAGTACACAAACCAGTGCACCCGCAATTCAAATAATTTAGAATGTGCCTTTATTGAATCATTTTAATAAGAGAAATTCTGATCTTGATAAGTTTTAAGATAAGTATACAATTTAAGATCTTTTGGGAATTTTACAGCACTTTACTAGGACCTGATGGGAAGGAGTGAATCAGATGGTGGGTAAGAGAGGGATGATGGGAAGTAGATGGGCTGCGACCTTCCCATCTATGAAATGGGTACACCATCTACCTTAAAGAGTTTTCATGAGGTTACAGAGATAGTAGATGTAAATTAGTGATATTAGTGCTCAAATATGACTCAAACTTAATTTACAGCATACACATATGCACATACATGTGCATACACATCAATATCCATGAGTGTAAAACTACACATAAGCACACACACATAGATGTCCATATATATACACTTGCATGTGCAAACACCCACACATACACAAATATGCACTCACACATGTATGTGTTCTTTTTTGTCTTGCTTGACCATCTCTTTTTATGAAAGAAAGCACAAACTTAAAATCTGATTTAATTTAATAAATGTTAAGCTTGATACTAAATGTTTTCAAATTGAAATTTCAGCACAGTTTCTTTACTGATAACGTTCTAGTGAATATGCCTGATGTCTTCCCTGCCTTGCACTTTCTTGGGTAGGTCAGTGCTTGATCAGAGGCAAGCAGTGGGCACTGGCTTCTTTCAGCCCTTCTGCCTTGGCAGTAGCCTCCTCTCAGTCTTGGAAACCCCCTTCCCCTCGCCTAACATCTCTGTCCCACCAAGCCCTTTGACAGCTCAGGACCTGCCTGTAGTTGGCCTCTGTGAAGGTTTATCCTTAGCTAACTGCATTTCCGCAGACCATGTTAGTGGTCTTCTTCTCTGTTCTGGAATGAATTAATCCATTGGGTATTACTTTCTGAGACACTTGCCTTTGCACACTGTACCTAATAATAGTGCCTGTAAAAAGCTACGTTACTATACTGCAACAAAAATTTAAATTAACTGTATGTACTACGTTAAAAATGTTACCCTAGAATTAAGTTTTTCCTGACATAACCTTTCTTTTCCTGTGTTTAAATAGTCTTTTTGGAAATGTTAAAATTGAAAGGCAGAAGCCAAATTATCACTATGTTCACATCTCATTACGGGAAATCTTAGTGCTTTGTGTTTCATTTTATATGACTTCAAATCTTAAATGCAGGACTCATGTTCTGCTCAAGTTCAGAACTCAAGCTCAGCTTCTCATTAGGTGCCTTCTAAAAAAGGCAGAAAAGTCATTCAAAGACACATCTTTTAACAAATTTAATTTATAAATCCAAGTATGACCACAATGAAAAAAGAACCATCTGGAAATTAGTAAGCTTGTATAAGTCTTGGTTGTGCAGTTTCTGAGTGATTTGAGTTAGCTGGTACAGGAGCTAGCATGCTGCCTGGAGGTTAGTCACTGTCTGCCTTGGTGACACCCCCTGGGTTAAACAGTAAAAGTGCTGGAGAGAGACTATAAGCTGCTGGGTCCATCTGTGTGTGGCTGTGATGTCCTATTGCTCTTGGCATGGAGACTGGCCCCCAAGAGCTGCTGTGCATATCTCTGAATGAAAAAACAAGGGTCTCCCATAGATGTGCATTACCCAAAGTGTTTTACAAAAAATACTTTTTTTTATATGGGGTCCCTCAGCTTCTTTCACCAATTGATGCTATTAGTACATGACTAGGCATTCTGGTCCTGCTCACTGTATGTGTTGGTTTGGGGTTTTTGCAAGGGGAACAATACAGAACACATATTTTATAAGATTATTTTATAATAGTCACCCAAAGAATCATATACAAAGAATGCAGGAAATCTGTCCACATACTAAAGACCAAAGAATCCAGATGAGGGCCTGGATCCTACAGTAATGAACTGTGTGAGTCCAGCTGAAGACCTAGAGCCCATAACAATGCCTCCCATGAAACTAGCTGGAGTCCTAGAGCCCATGACAGGTCTCATGCAGGTCTGTTTCATGGATCTGTGCTGGGAAGGCCCAAAGGTCAGTGGTGGAAGCTAGAAAGTCTGTGCCAGCATGATGAATGATCTATGCTAGAAGGCTGAGGGATCTGCATTGGAGCCAGGAAGCAGCACTCAAAGAACCACAGCTCCCCTGAAAAGTACCAGAGCCATCCTCAGCAAGAGTGAGGTCCCAAGCTCCTCTGATTATCAGGTTAATAATATCCATTAGTTATTGCGGGCTGATCAGGTCCACAGTCTCCCGAACGAGTGTATGGCGAAGGCTAAATAAAAAGAGGTGAATAGAATGATTTCAGGATGCCTGGAGTATCAAAGCCCTTTCACAGAATTTGAGATTCTCTCAGGGCTAAGACCAAGACCTTTTCTGGGTTGCCCATGTTTATTTAGTTGTCAGAAGAAGGGAGGGGATTACTCAAGAAGGGTGGAATCACTCAAGGACTTCTCCAAGTAAGTTAATCCACCCAGGAGTGAGATGCCTGAGGCTACAGTCTTTATCTAGTTGAGATGGATCCAGGTGTCCCTGGCTGTGATCTTGTCTTATCCTTTGAGGCTTTCTAGCTTCATCCCCCATTACAGGCCTCAGTAGGGGTCAGTGACTCACAGAGGTTCACTTACTATGAGTCCACCACCCATTTCCAAGACAAGGAGCTGGTCTTAGACAGACTCATATGAAAAGCCCAGTGGATAATTTAAGTCCTGCTTAGGGTTGCTTTGTAATGGTCTCCATTATCTAATGATGAGAAAAGCCGAGTTGCCATCAGGAAAGCCAACATAACAGGCTTCTCCAGGAGACTGAGCAGTGCACTGTCTTCCCCTCTGGAGCCAGGAAGCGATGCTCAAGGTGAGGACCAGAGCTTCCCCAAGGTGAACCAAAGTCATTCTCAGTGGCAACAAGGTCCAGAGCTCCTCGGATGATGAGAACAGTGGAGTTCATCAGGAAAACCGGCATGCGAGAGAACCAACAGCTCCTTACAGCTTCTAACAGCACCCAATAGTTTTTACCAGCTCCTAACAGCCTCACTACTTCTTCTCCAGTTGTGTCTCTTATGCATCTGGCAATAATCCTCAGGTGGGCCTCCCACACTTAGCACCACACTGGTTCAGTTTAGCTGGGTGCTATAAGTTGACCACCGGTTGTCAATCCACCACACCATACACGCTTGCAAGACTCAAAATGTTCTGTAGCAAATAGACCTGGGAGACAATGAGTTATACCAGCAGGACCCCAAAAGCCACTGACAAATGAGCTCCACTATGACAGTCAAGGAGAAGCAGATAGTGGCATTTTCCAAAATTATGTAACCACAGGCCCTCTTTCTGCCTTCATCCCTCCCTCTTATTGTCCTATGCAGACCATCTCTGGGAACTCACTTGTAATCATCTAGTCCTTTGAGTTTCCTATGACATCAGTTCCCAAACATAATCACAGAGATTGTGCTTATGCAGAGCACTGACCTGTCAAAACGTATCTCAAGATCTATAGATCTTACCCAACCTCTGACATCACTAATAACCCCAAAGACATAGCAAGTACTCAGAACAGGAAACATGCCTTTCTTAGAAGGCCCAGCATGTCAGAGATAGCTTTACTAAAAATGTGTGTGGCTGCAGGTGGATAGGAAGCCCTGTGGACAAGCTGTGAGAACATTGCTCTCAAGGCTCCCAGTTTGCACCCTTCACTTGTTGCGTCACCCGGAGAGAAGATACCCATATGACTGCCTCTCATCTCCTGGGGACCATGTCCAATAGTCTATGAAATCCAGGTCTGCATGCAGGAAGCAGTCTAGGCACGTGGAAGTATTCTGCTGAGAAGCACTTTTTGTTCAACGGGGATCCCCAGCTTTCTTGTACTAGTTGGTGCAATTAGTACTTAGCAAAGCGGCCTGGTCCTGCTCATGGTTCCTGCATGTGCATCTTGGGAGAGAGGCTTGCAGGCCACAGCTAACCCTCTGCTCTG